AAAATAAAATGATCAAGTGAATAAGATACAGTAACGTGGCTTAGTCTCAATCATACATACACCAGTTTGGTTCACACAGAACACTGTAAAATAAAGCACAGACCCTGAACCTATCAGTTCTGGCTACCCATAAAGACACCTGAACCTATCAGGTAAGTACTGACTGACACACAGTAGTACCCTGTCTGACACACAGACTCCCACACCAGCTTCTTCTTCCCAGCTGCTTCTCAGCTCTCCTTCTACTTCCACACAAGCTCCACATATATATACAGTACAGCCCCTCCTCCTGATGTCCCGCCTTCCACTCCCCATAGGATGGAACTTTCCCTCCAAACCCATGACAGACAGGTAACATCAGTGCTGTATGTAACATCTATATGTACAATAATACTGAGTTCTATCATTCTACAGGCAACTTGAATATATACTGATGGACATTAAAATTCATAGAAAATAGATTGGACCTTAAAAATAGTAGAAAATAGCTAGAGACAAAAGATTTCAGATATGCAATATATCGGTGATTTTTTTTCCTTCTTGGCAAGAAGGCAGAACCTCAAGGAGGATGTTCAAGACATGATGGCAGACCCTAAAGGAAGAAATTCAAAATATGACAGGAGCCCCATTCTGTGTTTTGTATGTGTTTTATCTTCACTCTAATGTACCTGTTGCCAAATCACTAAGATTATATATCCATGGTAGGCTTAAGTGCAACAAGATGGGTGTTCCTGAAAAAAATACAGAGTGCAACAAGTTAAGGTTAAAGAAGAATAATGACATACTAGAGGCTCCCATACTGTAGGCTCAAAGATCTGTGGCTCAATTATGAATGGCTTCAGCATTTTATTATACTCATTCTTTAAACTAACTTTCCAAACATTGGAAAGGTTGAAGATAATAAAACAAATATTCTCAAAGAAAGGAATGGCTACATGGCAGCCTGAAAGATGGCTCCCCCAGAATAATTTGATAAAACTCAGTGTTTCTACAAAAGTCTAATGAATTTATGGTAAAAACATAACATAAGGAACTTAATGTTCTGCCTCTTAGACCATGGTCTGGAAGAACATAAAGTACCACCAATGTACAGAATATGGGCATTCCTGATCAAGGAAACATTGAAAAGTTCTTCCTTCTGTTCAAAACATTTCTAAGCTGCTGCTGCTTCTTTTGATGTAATGTTTGAAAATGAAACATAACTCATAAGTTTAAATAAATTGAGTGCTACAGTTGAAACTAATTGGTGCAATATCTCTGTTAGTGCATTTGGATAATGGCAAGAATCTAAAGGGCTTAGATATTAATCCCTCCCAGTTTTTGTTATGACATGAAAAATGTTTATGTGTGATGTACATGTTTTACATATCTTGTAGGTCTTGCACCTCCACTAAATGTACGTGAAGGCAGAGTTACAGATACTTCAATAGAGATTCTTTGGGATCAAGCAGATGGAAACTTTGAGCTGTATGAAGTCAAATGTGTAAACTGTGCAGGTACTTTTACGGTATGTTTAAGAAGAGCAGTGATATATAGCCAAGATCATTCTTGTTGACAAGTTTTGAAAAGAGGTAGATCTATGCAGTCATTTTACTGCTGCTTCATGTTCCAACTGATGTTGTATATACGAGTAGATGCACCCAGATGCTAGCTTCTTATGCACTTGGTTTAGTCATTTTGTACTTAATAAGGCACAAGCCCAGAAAGATGAAAAGAAAACCAGACAGGAAAGGCCAAAACAGATGAAGGGGCAGTTTACCAATTGGAGATGAGCTGTCTTACTGAATAAGCAACATGCAAAAGAGTCCCCTATTTGCTCCTGGTGACCAATCACAAAAAAGTAGGCTAATGCAAGGCTACCCAATCATCAAATTTTCCTTTTATTTTTCAGTCTCTTAGACTTTTCATTCAGTGAGGAGAGATCCTGCATTGTGTGTTAGTAAGGTGAAGAACATTTGGGGGATGAAGTGACAGATGCACTGAATGTTCTTGAATGCATATTCTAGTCTTGCAAAACTACCAGATGAATTCGTACACTCAGGACGAATTCATAGCAGATGTTCACTGTGAAAGCTGCCTGCATAATGGGATGGAGACATGGAGCCTGCAAAACCATAAGACTATGTTCTTCCTTTTTTTATTTATAGGTCCAAAAATTAACGAAAGAAGTGGCAGAATTTTCCAATCTGATCCCAGGCTTGCAATATAATTTTACAATTAAAACTGAAAAAGAAGGATACAAAGACAGCCTTCCTGTAAGCATACAGGTAGAGACAGGTAAAACAGTGACAAAACTCCACTTTTTGTATGTGTGTATGTGCGTGCATGAGTATGTTTACTTCAGGTGTCACTAAATACATTACATGGAAATCATTTCCCTAGTAGATGGCAAGAGTTTGCAGAAGAGATTCTGTGAGTTTGGTTAATTGACTATAATAAAAGTTTTCCTGTTAAAAGCCTCTGTTTCATGCATCTGATAATTGTTTATTTTTAAAGAATGTTAAAATATAATTTATAAGGTACCACCACTCTTACCCCCTTTTTCATACTAGAAATGGCTAGGACCTATCAAAGATTGTACAGTGGTGCCTTGACTTACAACCATAATCAATTCCAGAAGATGGACGTAAGTCGAAAGGGTTGTAAGTTGAAGCACCATTTCCCATTGAAATGCATGGGGACGCGATTAATCCGTTCCAGCATTTAAAAAAATACCAATAAATAAATATTGTAAAACAATGCAAGCTTATTTTACCAGTCCAAAGCCTCCTCTTATTGTGGCGGCAGCAGTGGCAGCAGCCCAGCTCTGGAAGGCTGAGCCTGGCCGGGATGCTCCAGCTGCTCCCCTCCCAACAAGCTCTTACGTAGGAGCCTATCAGGAGGTGAGCAGAAGACGGATTAACTGGTTTTGCATTAGTTCCTCTGTTACATTGGCTGCTCCTGCAGAAATGCATTGCACACAATGGACTTGGGATATCAATGCCAGCAGTACTGGCAATCACCCCCCACCTTGATGGCATTGATATACAAATGTTTCAATGTATCTTCCCACAGGAAAAAAAAAACTTGCCAGTAATGTAATGGTGGCAGCTGCCCCCGCCCCCCCGGTGACATACTTTTATTTATTTATTTATTTTATTTTATTTATATCCCACCTATCTGGTCGGGCGAGGACCACTCTAGGTGGCTAACAATCGCAAATAATA